TGGCCATGTGTAAAGGCATTGAATTGAAATAGTATAGGGGAAGGGCTATTTTGGGTCAATTTAGGGCAAATCATGCTTTAGGACATGGTTTGGGGCTGGGTTCACTCACCTCAAGGAAGGTTTGGGCTGAAGAAAATCAGATGACTCAGCTTAATCATCATGGTGAGGTCTCTATCCAAGGAGATTTGGCTAAAAATGGATTAGAGTGATTCATGGGAGGGGTTAGAAGAATCTTAAGGATATTTGAAAGTAACTTGGCCTCTTTCCACGCCTCTTTCCACTAATGGTATGGTCCACTAATGGTATGGTGATGTGGCATGACTCTCATGGCTTATCTATGGCTTGGGAGTGGCTTCATGGTTTGTCCTTGGCTTGACTAATTGTCATGAGAAGAGATTTTTAAATTTATAAGATATTTTGGTGGAGTTTGGCATGATGCTTGATTTGGAATGGTTTGATTTTGAATTTAGGACTTTAGGAATGATTTTAGATTTTAATCAAATTAATCAAATGAATGATGAAGAGAAAGAATTGTCATGTGGGCTTTGGATTTGGGCTTTTGAAATTAGATGTAGTAGGCTTGGGGTTTTGAAATTGAGGTTGAATTTGGGCTAATTGAATGTTGATTTCGGTGTAGGAGTATTTCATGAAGAGTTTGAAAAATTTTCAAGTGATTTTGAGTTGAATTGGAGGGGCTAATTTAGTGGATTTAGACATATAGTCAAAATTGGGGCTTTTTTATTTGGGTAAAATTGAGCTTGCAATTGGACCAAATTGAGCTTGAATTTTGTTCAAAGTATGATTGAGCATGCTGAATTTTGATTTGGAATTGAAATTGGTCAAGATTGGAGCTAATTGGGCTAAAATTGGGGTTCTTGGTCAAATTGGATAAAATTGGTCAAACTAGGTCAACTTGATGGTTAAAAATTGAAAATGAGAATATTTGGGATGATTTTGTATTTTTTGGGTCATTAGGGGCATTTTGGTAAATTTGGCTATTTTTTGAAGTATTTTGGGAATTTGGTGAATTTGGTGAATTTTGGCCAATTTAGGTAGTGATGAGTGGTTTGAGATGATTTTTGGGCAAAATTGGGTATTCTGGGTAATTTTGGGAGTTTTGGCAAAAATTAAGGTTGTAGGGGTATTTGGTAATTTTGTGATTTTGGGCCAAAATGGGCCAACAAGCCATGAAGTCATGCCAAACCAATAAAATCCATATGAGGATTTATTTTGGATGCTCAATATGCTGGTTCTAACCCTCTTAGCTAAAGACTAGGGGTATAGGTTCATTCATATGAGCTTCCCAAAAGGAATCATGAGATCAAATCAAGTGGTCTTAGAGTTTGGGGTATGCAAGAGAGTTTAGTGTGTGTAAGCCATTTCAACCATCACCAGACCACCCAGGGTTAGTCCTAAGTTAGTCCTAAGGTTCCTAAGGTCTGACCATTCTATGGGAGACTCCCCTTGAGTTCCCTCATACTAAGGCTCCACCTACTAAGTGCTAGAGGTTAAGACCAATATGTGAAACTTCAAGTTGAACAAATAAGAGTTTAGAATTTCTAATGGTGAGGGTTCTTTTTCTAGTCCTCTAGGAATAGTCAACAGGAAAGTCCTATGGTTAGACCCTAGGCTACTAAAGAGAAAAAAGCTAGACCTCAACAAAAAAAGAGGTCAACAAACATCTGATAAATGTAATATTTGAAAAATAGAAATAAAATAAATATTAAAATGTATGTGGATGATGTATTAGTAAAAAACTAGGATACCTTAGAAACACATTTGAAACTTAAATGAAACTTTTAAAACACTAAAACAATTTAACAAGAAGCTTAATACCCTAAAATGTACATTCGACACAATGATGGGGAAATTCTTGGGTTATCTCTCGACCCTTAAAAGAATTAAAGCCTATCCATAGAATGTTTAAGCTTTAATCACCATTTTATCCCCCCAAAATGCCAAGTCAAAAAACCAATTAGTAAAATCACAAGACTCTGTTATTTCATTTAAAAGTTAGGCAGCAAGATAATTTAAAAACGTGAAAAATTATGTTAGAGAAATTAACGATGTTTGTAAGAACTAATGGATGCTTGAATGCCTTTTATAATTTATTAATAGTAAAAAAATGCCTTTGAATATTCAACCAATCCAAATCCATAACTCATCATGTCATGAAATAATAATTCAAGACTTATTAAGAAGTATTTGAGCCATCTCAAATGTTTGGAAATGATTGGAAACCATTAACCATTAATTTAAATACAATAGAGTAAATTATATTTAAAAAAAAACTAAAAATTTCCATAAAATTACTTTTATTAGATTTCTAATGTTAAAATCCAACCAAAATTCCACAAAATTTAGCCTGCTAAGCTACTCATAAGGATTTTTAAAGGAAATAACATAATTATTCTTTTGTATTAACTCGAGGCATTAGATCAATTCAAATGAGATCTACTTTTTCACAAATTGTTTTCCTTCTTGCATCAAGAAAAGAACTACGGGGTCAAGCTAGGTCTGGGTCACTTAAACCAAAGAAGACCCACCTCAATTTCTCTATCATAAGTCTACTTAGTCATATTTATTTGTTGAAAAGATTTATGATACTTAGAGTTGCACGTGTAAGGGCTTAACTAGCATTATTGAAACCTAGGTTGCTCCATAGATAAGAGCTTCTATAATTATAGGGTATTAAAGAGATTCTCACATTTGTTATCATTAGAGTTGCAGTAAACTATGCTCTCGCCATTTATAAAGGTAAAAAAGAAAGAGCCTTATTAGTAATTTGTTGAAATGGAGTGAAGAGTTGGGTTAGCCAAAGACAACTCATATTTTGATTGTACTCGATGGTTAGAGCTTGTTGTAGTTGGGTTAAATGATGTTAATAAACATGTGATGCTTTTCTTTGCTCGTAGAAGCTAATGAAGAATAGTGAGAGTGGAGTGGTTCGTTGCCCTTACCTATCCCTCTTAATTAAGCTTTAAACATGGTTATGTGTGGTTTGCATAATGCATAAAACTTTCATCCATCCTTGAACTTAACAATTTGAGGGATAGGATGTTATTATATGAGTTAAGTGAAGAAATCAATATTGCACATAAAGTTAGTGGTGATTATTTCATATTTACCATACAGGATGAAGATAATCCATATTTTAACCAAAAGTAGTTATTGTTGGTGGTCTTACCATAGGTCAATATCAATGCAGAAGTTGGGTTACCTAAGTTTTTATTTTTTTTTTAATGGATTAACCCAATTTTGTTGGCCATTAAATGGAGTTTAGCGCAAATTGACCTATATTGGTCTATTTGGGCTATGTATGCATTTTTACCAAACTTTTTCAAATCATGGGTTCAATCAGGTTGACCATATTTAAGGTTTGCTTCAAAAAATTTTAGTAATGACTCGGCTCAATTTGGTGTTTTGAATGTATGAGATTTAAATGGAAAGTGTAATTTTTAAAAAGAATTAAATCGACCCATTGATTAACTTTGGTTGAACAAATGGTTAAAAGGTGTTGAACATAGTTTATTGAAGCCAAGATCTTCACAGGAGATCTATACGCAATTGATTAAAGTAATTTGATGAATAAGGTCAATTTTACCCATTTGCCACTTATTTTACTCAATTGGCACATTAACTTTAGTTGGTCAACTTGGGTCAAATGAAAGCAATTGATCAATTCAATTGGTTAATTGACTAATTGAATATGATATTTATTAGAGAGTCTTATTGTGAGTTTAGGACTCACTTTAAGTTGATCAATTCAAAGGTTAAAAGTGATTTATATGAATTGGATTTTTATGAGTTCAATGGGGTCAAACTTGGAAATGGTTAACCAATTGGACAATCCATGGGGTTAATTGAACCTCTAGGTATTGGCTAAACTATAGACACCCTAAAGACACTATATGAGCGTTGGTTAGGTCAATTGGATCTTATTACCAATTTGGTCAATACATACCACATGGGTTAAATTTGAATTTTTTTGGTAATAAGAATTAGCTAATCCCAATTTAGAGGCTCTTAAATAACTAATCTATATGAAACACTTAGGGACATCTTAATGAGAGCTCAATTTGAACAAATTATTCCAATTTGATTGAACTGATTTATAGGATTCAAACATTGTAAACTTTTGTAAATGAGTCACTTTGGAAGAATTATTCTCGTTGGGTTAATTGGTTTAATCTAATAGTCACTTGGGTTCAATTGCATTTAGATTATATGCTTGAAGATTTTTGTCCTTTTAAATTTGAACAAATAGAGTCAAATTGGTTTAAATAACCCAATGGGACAAATGATTTGTCAAATTAAGCCAAACAGTCCAATTGGAGCACATCAAATGTTTATTTAACTTTATTAAGTTATTTCTAATCAATTGGGCATAATTCAAAGGGTTGGCTAGGGGCAAAATTTTCAATTCACAATGTCTATATATATATACATATATATCAATCCATCCATGATTTAGTGGAGTGAACTTTACGAAAATATTAGGCCAAATGATTAGAATATTTGATCTAAAATTATCAAATAGATCAATTGTCAAAGAGACGTAATGACTAATTTAATTATAAGATAGATCCCAGCCTACATTTCAAGTTAAGTAATCTAATGATCAATTGTTTTGCATAAGCATCCAATTGAACTCTGAGAAAAATAAATAATGCTTAGACCATAAATTTAAATCAAAGTTTCCTCAATTTCGAATTTAAATTTTATTGAAAATAGTTAATTCGAAAAATGCTTCAGAATAAATACTTATATAAAAAATATATTTAAATTTATGTCGATAACTAATAAGAAAATAAGCAGGGGCTGGTGTGAAAATAACTTCCATTTCGATTGCAAGTTGGAGTCCACTTGCCATGTTTTCCAATTTTAACTAATTTTCTTACATTTTTCACCATCATGCAAACTACGTCGTGATTCGTGAACAGTGTAGACCGTCCGATCTTTCTTAATTCAGCGCGCACCCACTCTCTCTCTCTTCTCTCCGTCCATTACAGCTCACCTTCGCAATTCCTTGTGAGTTCGGACGATTCATTTCACGCATTGACGGCAACCAGGGAGAAGGGAGGTTCTTTTGCTCTCTCTCTCTCTCTCTCTCTCTCTCTTTCTCTCTCTCTCTCATATACTCTTGTGCCCGAGATCCAGCTTTCCCATCTTCCCTCCCCTCTTCCTTTCGGAAGATCCGAAAGGCTTAATCCACTCCAGATCCTCAAGCTTAGCCGCCTGCCGATCCCATCGCCATGGCTGCGGCCAACGCCCCGATCTCCATGCGGGAGGTCCTAACGGTGAGCTCTCACTCCGCTTTCTTAGGCCTCATCTCGCACTTCTCCTTCACCTCCAAATAGAGTAGAGTCGGAGCTTGTCGGATTACGCTTGTGCCCGCAGCGCGGATCTAAAATTAATGTCATAGGAAGGGATCCCTTAGATCTGTTGGGATCTGGATCGCTCGTTGCATGTTCTGAAGTGTTTAGGATGTTTTGTTTTCTTTGGCTAGGTTTTTCTTACTGGTTTTTTTCCATGGCAGCTTCCCAGCGCTGGCATCAATCCTCAATTCATTACGTTTACACATGTGACGATGGAATCGGATAAGTATATATGCGTGCGGGAGACCTCTCCGCAGAATAGCGTGGTGATTATTGATATGAGCATGCCTATGCAGCCTTTGAGGAGGCCGATTACTGCAGACTCGGCTCTAATGAATCCTAATAGCAGGATTCTCGCCCTTAAAGGTTCTGGCTATTTGTTTAATCGTTAGGATTGATGAATATGTGGGAATTTAAAGATAATTTTGTCGGGAAGTTTACTTTGCTGGAAGTTTACTTTGCTGTTTAAATATGGAATTTGGTAATTTCAACTGCATCTTTTTGATTTAGTTTGTGTGAATTATATAGCATTTATTTATAGAGTTATCTATTTTTTTTACATATTATGATCATATTCATTTTTCAATTCATTACCTGAAGTTTCATACTTGCATGTGAATATGTGCTCGTCCTCTGGAATGCATACATGGTATATTTACCTGTTTTTTATGGGGTTCTATATTTCAATTCATTGCCTCAAGTTCCATGTTTGCACGTGAATATGTGCTAGTGTTTTTATATAATGCTTTGTATAAAGAAACATGCTCTATAGCGATGTTAAAATGCTCTGGACTCTTTTTGGAACTGTTGTAGTTGATCATTTTTTGTTAAGGATTTTATCCTTTGCCTGCAAGGCTTTTATCTCTTCATTCTTTAATTGCTTATTGAGCCGTGAATCCTGACGCTACCAAAATTCCTTATCATGAGCATATTTTGAAACTTTTATTTTAATTGGCTAATGTCCTTGATTTGCCCAAGTCCTCTTGGGCATTAATTTATTGATCAAGATGTATTTACGCACCATTTAACCCACCTGCCTCTTTATTTCCTCCAATTAGCTGTTAGTTTAGCTTTTTTATTTTTTTATGTTGTTCATTAAGCCCGCCAGACTTTCTTTTTGTCTTATGTTATGAATTTCAAAACTTTGAAATCCTTAAAACCAACATTTGTGAGGCTTATCTTCAAAATACATGACCTTATCTCTAGGACTATGGTTTTCATGGAATTTATAATGATCTCCAAATATATTTGTTTCTTGGTTTCTTTCTTTCGTTTAAGTTTTGGCAAAAAAAAAAAAAAAAAGTATGCTTGCATGCTGCTTGCCCATAATTGTTATGTGATTACAAGTATTCTAACTGCGTCAGTTGTAATTATAAGTTTTTAGCTAGATCTTGCAATTTTAAAGCTAATTCACAAGAATTCTTTCCCAAATGTCTTTTTTATTGTCTTCTCAATGTTTCTTAGCTTGTGGAAACCTAATTCATAGGGCATCTTTACTTTTTTTTTTCTTTGTAATCTGAATTTTGAGAACTTTTTTAAGTTTAAATTTGTCGCTTTTGCTGAGACAAATCAATCAAAATAGAAATGAACCATTGGAGATAATGTTGACAATTCTAGAATCAATCAAGTTGCCAATTGCTAGTGGAGAGTAAATTCCTCTTGATAGATAGACATCCAATGCTATTTCTATTGATGCTACACATGCATAAGTCACAAAACTTCACAATAGACTTCTTGTCTTAGTTTGGAAAGGGATGGGTTGAGTCACAAAACTAAACAATATACATGATGTCTTAGCTTAGAGAGAGATAAGTTAATTCAAACAACTAAACCATAGCCTTGATGTCTTAATTTAGAGAGGGATGGCACACAATCATTATGCACCTCAAATTATCCCCAATGAACTAGTTGGAACCATACATCCAACCACCTCTCTTATCAAACAAAAAGGTCGCATAAAATTTGACCAGGCCTTATAATATGTTTGTTCTAGATAAAAAATCATTTGAGAAAATTTTGGGTGCTTTGTAGGAAGTAACATCAAGCAGTGGAATTTGATTTTTTTTCATGTTGAGTTTGTCTATAATCGATCCGTTAACTAGTCCACAAGTCACTACCCCTTTGAAATTCCATATGAGCATAACCTCTCACACCATTGGACATTGGAATTATTGCTGATATTTTTAGCTATTGAGCTTAATACCGATGCAAAGGGCAGAGAAAGAAATTTAAATTTTATTTGAGTAGGTAGAAAAAACTTGCTAAATTGAACACCATATATCAGAGTAAGCTAATAAATACAAGAAATCTATGGTCTTCAGAGAATGTGACTTGGTATAGATCAGATTCAAGGAGATGTTTCTTACATGGTCATTTGGAGAGCTCAAACTTTGGGCTGACAATTCCTTCAGAGTTGTTAATTAATGATAACACGTACAAGGTTGATATGCAGGGAAACTATAATATTTCTACTATCTTTAATGTCACTGATTTGTTGCCATATTGCGAGGATCTTGAAATTTTTAGAGAAGAAGCGAGCCTCACCGACCTTGGGAGAGTGATGCGGGAGTGCATCGTCTAGGTAGGATGGGATTGAGCGGGATCTATTTATTTTATTTATATTTAAGGGTTTATCTTGTCTTACTATAAATATATTATGTAGAATCTGATTTTAGGACTTCTGTTTTGGCTTATGCTATTTAAAGACTTTTTTTTTGCTTTTTTCTCTTTGTAGTGTTGTAGCATATCCGTCTTCAAGTGATGAGTTTGTATCTTGAGAACAGGTGGTGGAATCTTCCGACATTTCTATAACACTGTCCTAGCTGCCTGTTGGACTCCCCTTTGCTGTTTTTCCTTCCGGGACAGCAACTTCAATCAATTTTCATTTTCAAATCTCCACCGACTTCCACATATTCTCTCCCTTTTGACATTCCACAACATCTACCTGTTAGATCCAACTCTCAAACACCTCTAAGAAACTTAGAACCAAGTTTTGTAAGGCTCTTTTAAAGAAAGTATTCTTTTCATATTGCTCCTGTAGTCTCAATGCAGCTGTTTAAACCAGTACAATAGTACAATTGATATTAATCACAAGATTTAATTATTAGAAATATGCCATCCTCTTTGACTTACTGAAATTTTGTCTGTATTTGCATGAACTGAAATGTTATGTGGATGTTGTGCGCCAGAGTATCTTTCTTTATAGATAGGCATGCGAAAGGTTCATTGCCTGATCAATGTAAACAAAAAAGAACCTTTGTCATAAATGTCATTTTTTTGGTCCTCTTTGGAACATCTCAAAGTGATACATAACAAGTCACTCTTGTTGTATCAGATTTGTTTACATTGCATTGCTGATTTCATCAAACTACAATTCAAATGTTTATTGCAAATTTGGTAAGGTGCTTTACTCGCCTTCCTCTTTTACATGAATTTTTCTTTCCAACCAAAATTTTTCTTTCCTATTTCCTAAACCTTAGCATGTCACCAACAAGATACATGTCCGAGCCTTCTCGAGAGTAGATACGACGAGAGATCCGCTAACTTCGACATTGGATTACGGACATGAAGATGAAATCTAATGGATGACTACTCTCAACCGTGATCTGAAAGGTCGAAGGGGGGATAAGAAGATATAAAGATGAAGCGGGAAACATAGCGTCAGTTCCTATCAACTTACTATTGATAAAAGTTGCAGACTCTTGCTTCCAACGTGGAGAGACAACAACACCAACTATTATCCAGTGAAACCAATCCGCAAGTCTGTCACAATCAGAAAATGTGGCAAGTGCCACAATTTTGGACTTGTTGAAGCAGAATGCATACCAAAGGAGTGATCTACTTGATCGAGCAAGGCTTCATCGAAAAGTTGGGTAAAGACACCGCAAACATTGAAGGCGGTGAGGACATAAATGAGGAGTACCAGCTCCCAGTCGAAGGGATAAACTGTGATCAGGAAGAAGATGCACACTTCAAAGACGATTCTCATTTTTCAACTAACGATGAAGAGACGCCAGCAAATCCAGTTGATCGTAAGATTAAGATTCCAGTAGAGGTAATAGTCACTTCTCTAGGAAGTAGTGACTCTGAGGTAATGGGCAGTCCAACAATTTATGAGATTATGGTGCCTCACGCTTGCATTTTGCAGACTTTGAGAGGGACAGCAGCAGGACTAATGTTGGATGTCTCGAAGGGTTATGAGTTTGAGGATTCAACATCACACACAGGGTCACCATAGATGGGAAATACAATTATTTCAGATTTATAGACCCCTTACGGAGGGAGGTCAGGCATGTTCGAAGAGGATTTATTTTATGCCATGCTTGGAATATTACAGGGAGTATTTCAAATGTTAGATTCAGCCCAGCGGGATACCCATCAACAAATGTCTAGATAGGAGGAATTAATTTTAGCTTTGAAATGGGTCCTCGGAGCTTGAGAGGAATTAAAATTCTTCAATGGGATCTAGGTCCTCTCACCGAAGAAGTTCTCTCCTAAATGGTCGCTAGTGAGAGTGGCACAACCCGCCACAAATTTCACCCCAGATTTGACTTCTCCTTACATATTAGTTCATCAACTCCACTCGACCGAATATGAGGAGTGGAAGAAGCGGGTTAAAACTAGGATGACTCGATACATGATTCGTGAGAATACCCGTCTATTTACAGTTCTCGCTCAGGGTGTGCCAAAGATGGACAAATGCCTATTCTACTAAAATGTGCTTTGGAACGACGCCTATTAGATTTACTTACTGGGACCACAGTTGACGATCCGTTCATCTCGAAAGATTACAATAGCTCCCTCACCGTCCATGAGCCAATAGAAGCTTCGATGAATAAGATTGAAGCTCCCACAACCCCAGGAGACTGACACGGGGCTTTGGGGAGGACCAAACTATGGTTCGGTCCAACTTGGCCGGACCGTCAACCATTAGGGGGGAGGGCTGCTGGCCTCACTTTCCTTTTCCTCCTCCCCTTTCCCTCCCTTTCCTTGCCTTTCCTTTATTTTCTTCCTAGCTCCTTCCAATTATAAGTTCCTTCCAAATCTGAAATCTGATTATTTTTCTTGAAATATGAAATCTGATGATTTTTATTTAATTCTTAAATCTGAAATCTAAAATATTTCCTTTCCAAATTATTTAATCTTTGCCTAATCTGAAATTTTGATTCTTTATTCTTCCTTTTCATTTTAAACATTACCTAAATATGTCTTAATTCTCATTATAAATTGGGGGTGTGATGCTTAAAGTTTTCTTTTGTCTTTGTTGTGTTTGCTTTCACTTTTTGTGTGGAGTCTTTTTCCCTTTTGTAGAGCTGTAGAGGGTGGTGGTGCTCCGGCTGTATCATACTCCGAGTTGGTGATTGTATCTTCCCTAACTCTTCTCCTCCACTTCACTTAGCCTCCGACCACCCCAAACAGCTGCCCCCTGCGCTGCTGACCCCCCCTTCCTGCCGCTGCAACCCTGCTGTTCAGCCTTTTAGGTCCCTCCCAGCAGCCAGTCTGCACTCTTAAATCAGCCATTTTTGCTGTCTTACCCTCTGCTCTCCCAACCAGCATCTCCTCCATCCTTCCCAACACTCCCAATCAACTGCTCCTCACCCCACAGCCGCTGCCCTTGCTGTCCAACACCTTGCAGCCACCAATCTGCCTGCTGCCGGTCACCTAAAACTTTTCATACTTGCTGTCCTTGTAATTCTGCACCTTCCCCTCGCTGCCATCAGCACTCCCTTGCTGCCACCACCCTTGCCAACCATCCTGAACCACCTAGCCGGCCTCTATTACCCTTGGAATACATCTTAGAGGTGTTTTCCCGTGTCGTTTATGTTTTGTGCTGTTATTTTGTGTTGTGCTGTGTTGACATTAATAAAAGTTTGTTTTGAGTATTTTATTGCTTTTTCTACTAGTTCCGGTATCATGCTTGTTCACCAATCTCAGTGACATTCAATTATTAATGAAACACGATGATACATAAGCAATAATCTTTGAAGGATGCAATTAAATCATGAAATACCTCTCTTTTTAGATTTTATAAAAATATATATATTTTACAAGAGTGTGTAGGAGGCTGAGATGAATGCGAGAGGATCCTTTGCCTGATCGTAGCCATTTTGCAATGAATGTCATCTCAAAACTCTTATTTTAATCATCTTTTCAACATTTCTGTCTTTGAAGAGAACCACTAGAGGACATTTGTGCTCCTCTTTTTTCCTCCTCTTAGTCATAAGATCATCTCTCTCCTCTCAAAGGTTTTCTTTTGATCATCTTCTCAACATTTCTGCCTTTGGAGAAAACCACCATAGAACATTTGTTCTATTTTTTTCCTCCTCACCTCTCTCCTTATGTACCAGCATATGCAAGCTAAATGGCCGCCAAAACACTTACTTTTTTTAATTCGTACATAAATTCTCTCGATTCTCATGCTAATTTTTGTTCTTACTAGTTTGATGTAATTTCATTCAACCTTCTCACAATTTTGTGAACTCTTAACTCACAATATTTCTTTTATTCATCTGGTTAGAAATGAAAAATCAGGCTCAAGTAACCATCAAAAGAGGTTATATTCTATGCTTTATGTTGTTTTGTTGTCTATTGAATGTTGTGTCATAATATGTTCTATCTTGCAAGAACATCTTTTTTGGTTATTATTGAAGTTAACGTATTAACAAATTTGGAAATGTTTAATAGCCTTATTGAATGATTGTAATCCTCCATGGAGTTGTTGTCTTATGCTTCTCTTTTGCACGTTGTTGTGCTGCTGTCTAACTCTCACACTACTTTTCTTTTTATGTTTTTTATATTGAATTGTTTAGTGCATTGAACCCTTGTATTCACTTGTATTCACTTAATTCTTTCTGGTTTGTTTTTTGGGTACCAATCTTTGTCACCTGTGATATTATTTCAAGGATTTGTTGATAGTTGGCCCCATAGCCAACTTATGTTAAACCCATATGCTTTTTGGGGATTAATGAAGGCTATTTTATTTATGTGGTTGTGGTAATTAATCTCTCTTTGGCTTGCTTCATGAATCGAACCTTTTGTGTCAATAATGACTCTTTAGTAGGTTTTGTTATATTGATTTATAACTAATGAGAAACTATGATATTCAAAGAACTATGGTAAGCATGGAATCATCTCCCATATCATTATAGGCAATATTATCCTAATTGCATACTGCTTTTGAGTTCTGATTTTATGATGTGTTAGTATTTTAAGGAAATACTGTTCAGCTTCATAATGATTTCACTTTAGAATTGGCATTTTAGGCCAATTATCTTCTTCTTGCATTGGCTTTTTTCATGGTCTCTTACCACTTATCCTTTAGTGCTCTTCTTTCATCTAATTCTTTATATTAGACCTCTTAGAACTCATTTGATATTTGTGGAATTCAATCATCTGACCTTACCTCATGATACTTACATATTAGCTTAATTAAAAATTTTAGTACTTTTGGATAGTATTGCATAGTTCACATTTATTTTACCACATTAACTCGTTGCATCCTTGCATTATTCCTAGGTTATTTTTTCTTGGGCACATATAGGATTAGACACACAACATGAAACAGCTAAAATAGAAGCTGTAATGAGTTCTCATATCCAAATTTGCTAAAAAAAAAAAAGAGTCATGATTATGCATCTGTTCTTGAGTGCATTTAAACATTTATATAAAAAGAGCCAAAATGGTCTTAAAATCAAACCCTTTAGTGGGATGATATTGAAAAGGGCCGTACCACTTGTATCGCATTGAGTTCGATACTCCGAGAGGTGTTTCATTTAGGACAAGTCGATCTTGAATCAAAATTAAGCCTAGGGTCAAATCCATGTCTCAGAGTTGAGTTTAGGCAACCATTTGATTTGATTGTGCTCGGTTTGGGCTCAATTTGGCCTAATTTGACTCAATCTTGAGCAAGGCTCAAATTATGTTTAAGCATGGTCAAGGCTTATATTTGACTCAAACTTACCTTAGACATGTTTCTAGATTGAATCAACTAAGAAGCTCGATTTAAAGTGGCTAACATTGTTTGAGGCATAATTGAGTAAAAACAAAGAAAAGTTGGGTGTAAGATTTAAATCGAAGATGGACATTATAGCCCAATAAAAATTTGTACATGACTTCTGTTTTAATTAGTGTAGATTGGATTGAAATTGAGGATCCGAGCTAGTCTCTATAACTAGCGTTGAGACCTTTTGAGATCGATCAAAGCCTGTGCTGATGCCAAGTTTGATCAGTTTGGTCAACTTCAAATAATTAGCTTGAATGGAGCAAACCTTGCCAAATCATATCATGGAACCTATCAATCATGTTAATTGGGGCTTAAGTTGGGTGACTGGATGGATGGGGCTCAAATTCAACCAACTTGAGTCCACTACATGGCCAAATGAGCCTAATTAAGGTTTAGTGACCTTAATTTCTTTAACCAGAGGTTAATTGACCTACTCTTTAGTTAAAAAGGTCAATTACTCGGTCTCAGGATTCTGAAGAGCTAAATGGGCCAAATCTGGTCAACTTTGGCTCAATCGTTGTTTTAATAGGGTACGAATGAGCTCTGTCTGCCATTGTAGGGCTTGATTGTTTTAACCAACTCAACTAAAACTAAGGTTTGATTGTTTTTACTAATACAACTGGTTGACTGAGAGTATTTGGGTCACTTGTTCAAGCAAATTGATGGCCATATTGTGCCTGTTGGGTCCTCTGGGATTTGTCATGATTATCTCAATGAACGGGGACTAGGTTAGGTCAATTAAAACCCAATTGAGCTATTAGCTAGAGTTGCACATTATTAAATGGACCCATATTGAGTAAACAGAGTGGCTCAACCAATACCATGCTAAACCTACTGGGACAATAAGGTTCATGACGTTTGTTCCATCAAGCAGTTCCATGCATGATTGTGCTAATTCAATCATGTGGCCGCAATAGTTTTACTAGGTTAGGTCACAAGCTGATCAGGGCCTATTACACTTTTGACATATTCAAAGGTCAATGGTCAATTTTCACTTTGTATGTGGAATCTTGAATGCTGCTTCTATAAACGTTTTTTGGTTGATTAATATATAAACATGCATGTATAACTGCATACTTCATAAATATAAATAAACAAAAAATATAAGCTTAGGAAAAAAAATATTCTTTATCCATTATTAGTATAAAGTTATAAATCATTTTTTTTTGTACCATGAATATTTTATTATATTATTTATCATAAATAGCATATATCATGTACAATACTATAATGCTTGGATCACAATAATATAGTTTTGTTATGTATACTATGTTATGTATTTTTATACTCCATATAATGTGAGAGAATTTTTACAACGACAACAACAAAAGCCTTCATCCTACTAAGTGAGGTTGGCTTCATAGAATTAAATGATAAAAAGGATTCATTTTCATTTAGCCGACCCCACTTAGTGGGATGAAGGTTTGTTGTTGTTGTTGTATGCTTAAGTCTTTTTAGGTTTACCTCTGGCTTTCTCAACATAAGTAGAATGAAAAATCTACTATAAAAAAAAGGATGTGAGAACATTACTGCAATAAAAAGAAAATTACATAAGCTATTATTTGTTGCCCATTTCTTTTGGTGGACCGAAAAATGGAGTGTGTCGTATAACTTTTGTCTGGGGAGAATTTTTATTGGTTTGCCTGATGAAAAGGCGGTGTGGCATGATATTAAATTCTGGTATTGGAAATGTTCCGCTATCATTACTTTCTATTTCACACTTCTTACATGCTATTTATATTTGTGATTCACGATTTGATTTGAAGCACTTGACGTTTTCCTCTTGAACCAGAGGGCGGTGTAGCTTTTCATATTTATCATGGTAATTTATTTAAGAAACTGATTCATAGCGTATAACTTCTTTTTGGGGAGAATTTTATTGGTTAGCCTGATGAAAAGGCGTTGTGGCATGAATTTAAATTCAGGTATTGGAAATGTTTCACTTACTTTCCTTTCTATTTCACACTTCTTGCATGCTACGCAACAATTCCTAGGAAATAAGATATAAGTTACTTTTAAATTTGTGATTCACTATTTGATTTGAAGCACTTGAAATTTTCCTCTTGAACCAGTGGGCGGTGTAGCTTTTAATGCTTATTATGGTAATTTATTTAAGAAACTGATTCAGCGAGTCCAGGAAACTTTAAGTTGCTTTATGACTTTTCCATTTCTTTTAGTTCTCATTTTCTGTCCATTATAGTTTCTTTGGTTGCCACTTGTTGAATATCCTAACCTAGTTAAATATGCAGCTCAATTACCTGGAACTACTCAAGACCACCTGCAAATATTTAATATTGAGATGAAGGCCAAGATAAAATCACATCAAATGCCCGAGCAGGTATTGTGCTACTGACTCAGAAAAGGATTGCCTGCCAAGATCTTCTTTTATAGATCCCCTGTCTTTAGTTCTTATTTTACATTACTTATTTATGCTTGATTAAATTATTACATGCATAAATTTTCAGGTTGTCTTTTGGAAGTGGATAACTCCTAAAATGTTGGGTTTGGTTACACAAACATCTGTATATCATTGGTCAATAGAAGGTATAAATTTGATTATAGCCTGGCCCCATCTCCCTTCACTTCTGGCAGTGCTGATAATAATGCATGTTATGTTTTATTCAGGAGAATCCGAGCCAGTAAAAATGTTTGACCGGACAGCTAATTTGACTAACAATCAAATCATAAACTACAGATGTGACCCATCAGAAAAGTGGCTTGTTCTTATTGGCATTGCTCCTGGTTCTCCAGAGGTAAATCAATAAGAATGCTATTTACTGGAATAGTTTAATTTTTAGTTACTTTGAGAGAAAAGTTCTAAAGAGGGATTTTCTTGCGACTATTCTGGAAAGCTTTGTTCTTTTGGATTCTGGAAAAAAAATGCTTAATCTCTTTTTGAAAATGCGTGAGCAAAAGCTAGGGTATTGTGGTACCTTAGTTTTTTTTTAATATCTGGCTAATTGATCATCTTGTTTATTACTGGTTTGGCTCTGTTGTGCCCGTGATACATTCTTATAGTTGTACCACCCCTCATTTTTTTTCTGAATTATATCATGTATTCATGTTTCTCACCTGCCAAATTATTTACATTTGACAGTCCATCTGTTTTGAAATTTTCACAAGTCATCAATATTCCATTTGGTTTTAACGAGCAAATTTTTTATTGTTTCCATTATGTTCTTTCTTCAATTTATTTCCTGCTCCTTTTCCTTTGGCATTATGTTTCTTGTACATCATGCATAACACCTATAAAATGATTTAGGCTCTGTTTATTGATCATCCATGCAATGTCATGTGAATGTATATGAAGATTTTGGATAGTGAACATCCTCACGACCCATCAATAGACTCCACAAATCTTTCCTCGCATTTTCCAGCTTGATTTCTTCTGGTGCACTGAGCCACAACTTTATGTGCATGTCCAATTTATAAGGTGAGGAGAGGGGTTGTGATTGGTTGGCAGCATTTATGGTTTATATGTTGGATTTTTAAGCTTAATCTTCAATATTATTTGCTTAAATGTGTAAACACAAGGTCTCTACCTTGATTGACATGTATTGATTTGATGCCAGATTGTGTCATGGCTACCTGCTCGGCTAATCACATTCCCTTTCCTTTTCTATTTTAATTTCACAGAGGCCACAACTAGTGAAAGGAAATATGCAGCTGTTTTCTGTTGATCAACAACGAAGTCAAGCGCTCGAAGCACATGCTGCATCTTTTGCTTCATTCAAAGTGAGCAATTCTGCTCTCTCTGTGGGCTATTTGAATCATATGATAGCATTTTTTCCATATCGTTGACTTGGTCATGGTGGCATTCTTGCACAGGTTGTTGGAAATGAGAATTCATCAATCCTTATATGTTTTGCCTCAAAGACCCACAATGCCGGTCAAATAACTTCGAAATTGCATGTGATTGAGCTTGGGGCCCAGCCAGGTCTCTTCTTATCTTTTACCTTGGTAGAATGCACCTTTCTATTATTACATTAAGATTTGCTGCATATCCGGCTGCTCTACCGGAGGAGTATAATTGGAGTTTGTTAGGAGGTTGACAACGAATCATAAATTTTTGTCAAAACCATTAATGAATCATACTGATTCTCTGTATATTGTTTCCACACTTTTGTAGTCATCATTTTTTCATCATTTACATTTGGTAGATTTTTGTATACCGTATCATATTTTGTAAAATTAAAGCATCTTCTTGCATTTTGTAAGGTTTTAGCTTTTGCTGAAGATATCTTTCCCTTTGAGCATTTTCTTGTAATTTCTTTCAATAATTGTTGTTTTACTGTCTATTTTGACATGCATAGATTTCGCTTCATAGAAAAGCACTCAAGTTGTAGCTCTGTTGGGTTTGCGTGCAGGCAAGCCAGGCTTTTCCAAGAAACAAGCTGATCTATTCTTTCCGCCAGATTTTGGTGATGACTTTCCTGTGGCCATGCAGGTTCAGTTTTCAATTCCACTGATCCCAAATTTTGTGGACTTTACAAAATAGATTGCCACCTATTCTGATTATCTATTGATGATGCAAGTCGTGCCTAATTAGTTATTATGATTCTTGGAAATGTTGAAGTGAATAAAATAAATAGAATTTCTTGGTGGGTTCTTACTAAGAAGGCCATGGATTCAGTGGATTCAATCTATTCAAAACTGAGTATGGACTTAGCATGCTCATAAGCCAGAATCCTATCAAGTTGCTAGATGTAGATTTTCATGTGTTGAGAAATTGGTTTATTGTGCTGGAATTTGGATTAATAAAAAATATCTTATTTCCAAATGATGAAAATTTGAAAACTTTGATTTCCCATTCCATGATTTATATCATGTTGCTTTTGTTTTTTTTTAATATGCTTGATTCCCATCTAATTTTCTACCTAGTCTGCATGATTTGGTACTTCAGCTGTGATTTTATCTCATTTTAATTCCAGAAAGAAGTTAATTTCTCCATAGAGGTAGCAACACCTACTACGCTGTTCTATCCTTGTAATTTGATGGTTTTTCTTGCTCTGGATCTCGGTCTGATACATATAGCTAGATGTACTTAAACTATTTGTAAACGAAATGGATTTTATATTTTATTTCTATTACAAAATTTTCTTTTCTCTTATTAATGCAACCGTTTTTGTGGTTTTATCATACTTCATATCATTCCTGATGCATTTGTGTTTAGCTATATTGATTTATGAGCACTACGCTCTAGTGCTGGGAATATTTTTGTAACAATATATTTAGAAGGTTTTCTAGAATTGTTGATGAAACATAATAAATTTATATTACAGTTTCAATATTTTAGGATTTATTTTTTTTAATTAGTACTTTGATTTTATTTGATTTCTTTCATGTAAACTTATCATTTGTATTAATTTAGTTAGTCTTAGTAAGGATAGATTTGATGTCATATTTGATTGTATCTATAAGATTATTCTCATAACTTGGGGGAGTTTAGATTGTAATAAATCAGTGCATGACATACTGAATTATTATAATAGGTTTTCTTGTATCCTCCCCTTTGGTATTTCTTCTTCCCTTTTAAGATTTCTCATTTACAATTCTTTTGACTTGTCTTTCTTCCTTTAAAGCCTTGTTTGTGGGAACTTCGCCTTTCGGCGAAGTTCCTTTAAACTTGCGTTCACGGACAGAATCTGGCATTCGTGTTTTAAAACTGTTGGCAGACGCTCAGAAAATAATCTCTCACCAAACGATCCCTCAGCATATTACCACTTCGCGTTCAAAGGAAAGCAGCGGAGACGCCTCTCCAAACGAGAGCCCTAAGTTTTCTATCAGTTGACTACTACGGTTGGGCTAGTATGGCTTTGGTTCGGTAAGGACGATATGGTCGGCTAAGGTTGAGCCAGCGTTGTAGGTCGGTCGGAGCTTGATTAGCTTCGAGTCAGCCAGGAATGATTTGGTCGGCCAGACTATGCCGATCCCTATGTGAGGTGCTTCTGTTAGCAGAGTGAGACTAGGCTTGGGTAGAGTGTAAATCACCGTAACCTGGTAGATTGCTAATTCCTCAACGACGAGAGTCTGTTGGATGACTACAATAATCTATTGGGACAACCACTCATATTCAAGAATTGGATTTTTTCTTGGGTCAAATCTATCGGGGGGTTGGTCGATGACTTTTAATCGGCTTTCTTGTGGCGGTCAACTCAGATGCTTATCTATCTTGCTTTAGTTTGATTGATTTGGATTTTAGATCGTTCGATCATTTTTTTGTTCTTCTCCTGGTTTGGTCCGTCTTCGGCTTTAGCCTGGATGGCTGCATCTGATCGAATAAGTGAACCTTCTGGTCTTCTGTCGATGACTTTGGTCGATCGAATAAGTGAGCCTTATGGATTTTTTCTTGGGTCAAATCTACGGGGGGTTGGTCGATGACTTTAATCGGTTTTCTTGTGGCGGTCAACTCGAATGCTTATCTATCTTTCTTTAGTTTGATTGATTTGGATTTTAGATCGTTCGATCATTTTTTTTTGTCCTTCTTCTGGCTTGGTTGGTCTTCGGCTTTGGTCTGGATGGCTACATCCGATCGAATAAGTGAGCCTTCTGGTCTTCTCTCGGTGGAACCTTTTTTATCATACTTTCTTCCTTCTGAACTGTTAGATCTTCTTAGGATCAACACCAACACATTTTTTATGTATAAAACGTCAAAGTCACAAAAAAAAAAAAAAACTTCCCGACGACAACTCTCTATTGGTGCATGGGGAGAATGCCAACCTTTTGTGTCTTAAAAGACTCGTTGGTCTATATCGTGAGACGTGTCTGTCGGTGAGCAAAAATATTTATTTCAACCCACAATCTTAAAATATGCGATATGCTTTCTCTGTATTTGTCAAAAGCACAATCACAAGTAGGGTTGTAATCGAGCCGAGCTGAGTATATCACTTTTTAGATTTGGTTAGGTATAATTATAAGTTGTTTATGTTCGACTTGAACTTGTGTCAAACTTTCATACGTTGCTAAAACTTAATTTGTTTAATTTTTTCAATGTTTGAACTTGATTTGTTTATGACAAATGAACGAGTATTTAAACGAGCTAAATATTCAGACGAGAATACATATTTTCATATAAAAAATTTAATAAATAATTTTGTAATTGTAATCACAACTACTAATTTGTCCATTAGGAACTCTAAAATCTTTCAGCTTTACTAATTACCTACATCATTCTTATTGATATCACTATAGTTCAACTTTGGACGAACTAAATTGATCATAAAAGTTATAGGGATGATCGTTTACTTAATCCATATTAATCAGAAAATAATAGTAATAATGCTGATAATTGCAGTGTGATGATCATAAACAATGGACTCATTACTTTCAAGGTTATGAAAAATTCACAAGAAAAATCTTTTATATCATTTTCTTTAGTTGTAAATATCTTATTCTTAATTATCATTTACTTGTTAATAAAATAAATATATAATTGATAATTAAACTAAAATATTATTGATATAATAATAGATTACTATTAAATTTATAATTAAATTAATTCTGATTAATTAAATTTTATATAAATAATATATCATATATATAATACGAGTTATTATCGAGCTTAATATCGAATATTTAACTAATTATTTGTTGAACTACAAACAAGTTTGTTTGTGAACATAAACGAATAAGTTCGACTATGTTTATTTTCAGTTCTTTTAAGTTTCGAGCTTTTAAAATTTATTCAAATGTTTTTATTTACTAAGTTGAATGAACATGATCGAGTCTTAAACGAGCTGAGTTCAAATTGTCCATCGAGTGCATTGGTTAATTTACAACCCTAATCACGAGTGATTAGGTACTTTATTTTCTCTGAATGGTACTTAATTCCCAGGACAAACACTCACGTTTCTCAGGTCGAATACTTAAGTCCTTTGATTTCTGTAAAAAATTTTCAAATGAGCTACACAGTGCTAAATTCTCTGAACACGTATCCGAGCTTTCCTGAATGGATATTTTGAAAATTACCCTTGCACACCCATTTATTTATACTTTGGCGTGATTCGGTAGTGTTGACAGCATCGAGATGATCAATAACAATGAAATGATAGAATAAAACTACAACACGATTTTTTTTAAATTTCTTGATATATTTTTTTATTTTTTATATAATATACACTATAAAAGAGTTGATAATAAATCGAGGAAGGAAGGTTTGGCTTTGAATAAGAAGGGAGGAATGGCATGAATTTCGGTCTAGAGCTGGGTTCGGGATTGTGGCTCACGAAGGATAAGGCTGTGGCAGTGGAAGGCTAGATTGAAGATAGGTGCAAGCTAGGTTTCGGTACAGGGAGTTTCAAAGGTTTTTATATGGCATGTTCTCATCACTGCTGTGAAATTGAAGAGGGAAGGCAGAGGAGGGAAGAATCTTGAGCTGAAGTTCAGCTCTGACATTCAATTAGAACATGAAAGAAACTCCAAAAATTTTCTCAAACTGAGATCCCATCTTCTCAGCTAAGTGCCGAGATCTTGGTCTGGAGCGTGTTTGAGTACGGAGAGTAGGAGATTCATAGCCTTTGTGCGCAGCAATTTTGTTGTTGCGTTCTCAATTGGTCGTAGTTACGACCGTTTCGTGAGAAGATAGTCATAGGAAGGGGAAAGGTATGCATGCGAAGGTTGCTGGAGCGAGTCATGCGATTGGGGCTGAAGAAATGTGTGACACAGGGAGATGAAGGAGCAACACAAGGAGTTTTAGTGCTCTCGTGCGCAGCGACCCCATCTGGAAGAACACTCTAATAATTTTGAGAGGCTTTGTCTGCGGCATTTGCGTGGTTGCATTTATGGCTAGCCTTAGTCGTGGCTGTATCCCGAGCGAGAATCCTAATCAAGTGAGGTAAGAAAGGGCTTCGACGCCAACGGAGAAGGAAAAGAGCGAGACAGTTTTGACTAGGGATTTTTTTGCAACCGAGAGGAGTTGAAGTTTAGGGCTTCAGCTTTTGTGCTATACGCAACAAAAGGAGCGCGAGCAGTTTCTGCATCCCTTGGGTGGGAGGGACCTGATATCGGATGCCTTAAATTTCTTAGTTTTCTTTTTTTTTTAATGGTCAAAATTAAGATGGCCGAATCTTTGGTTGGTGGAGTAAGGAGTAGGCGCTTAGAGTGCAAAGTATGGCCAGATATAACTAGCAAACCCAATCATCAATCTAGCAACTAATTTAACCCAAATGAAAGTCCATGGACAGCAGCTGAACGGTTGGGATGAAAACATAGAACTAGTAGCTAAAATTATAGCAACACTGAACCCACAATTGCAGTGAACTGAACCGACTCTGGTGTTGGGTCTGTTAAGTAATTTAATTTTTATCATACAGCCATACCATTCCATCCACTATGAGTCCAATTAGCTAATAAAATAATAGGAAATTGAAAGGTTGCGTACCATCCTTACAGGCATTTTATCATGATCATGTTAAAAAAATAACTGAAGTTTAAAATGACAATATGAAATAAAGCAACCTAAATAATTTGCTCATGTCATGTATTTGCTAAGGGGTTGTTTGGGATCACTTCTGTTTTTTTTTTCTTTTCTATTTTTTATTTTATTTTTTATTTTTTAATTTTATTTTGTTTTGTTTTCGTGTTGATTTGAAACAAAACATGTTTGATATATTTGATTGAGATATTATTATTTTGAAAACACTAAAAAGACCCTAAAGCTGTTTTAAGTATTTTCTAAAACATTTTTATTTATTTTTTGAAGCAAAAAATTATTAAGAACACATTAAGCAAACATGTTTAAAAAAAAATAAGCAAAATTGATCCCAAACAAGCTCTTATTATTTTCACTGATGGTAAACATTTAGATTTCCTCCACTCAACCTGAAGTAGTTTCAACTTGTTTTCTTTAATTGGTTCTTATTGGTAGATTATATAAATAGATTTGGAATATCTCTACGGGCTTGGTAATAGCTAAAACTTAATGATCCAACAAAAATTTTTTGAAATTTTATTAACTTTATTGGACTTCCTAGAATATTTTTAACTGACATTATGGAGAACTGAATCTTGTTTCTAGAACAACTCTTCCATGCATAGCAATAATTTTTTGCAAGGGGAGTCCATTTAAATGCTTTGTCAGTGATATTGAATCCTGATAGATGACCCCTTCAACTGAAGATTTAATAATGATTAATGTTATTACTCGCATGAATTTTTAATCTTTAGAATTATATATTTTCAGGTTTCATCGAAGTATAGTTTGATATATGTGATCACAAAGCTTGGCCTTCTCTTTGTATATGACTTGGAGACAGCTGCAGCAGTTTATCGAAACCGAATAAGCCCCGACCCTATATTTCTGACTTCAGAAGCTTCATCTATTGGTGGATTTTATGCCATTAATAGAAGAGGTCAGGTTCTGCTTGCAACTGTGAACGAGGCAACCATAGTGCCTTTTGTCAGTGGTCAGGTAACCTCGTATAATTGTTCTTTCCCCTTTATAGTCCCTACAGTTTTTTAACCTGTAAATTTGGTACTTTAACAGTTAAACAATCTTGAACTTGCTGTAAATCTTGCGAAACGAGGAAATCTTCCTGGTGCAGAAAACTTGGTGAGTCCTGACCTTTTGTTGTTGTCCTCGAAATTGATTTGCAAGATTACCTTTTATTTTGACATTATGTTTATTATTTCATGAGTGTAGTAACGTATTACCAAAATTCTCATTAGACATCTATCAAATAATTTCTGCTGAGATTTCATAGTTTTATCTTTAAATTTGTCAATGTGTGGTGATGATGTTGCGTTTTTGAGCTTACCTCACTGGTGATTATTTAGGTAGTTAAGTGATATCATTATTTGTAATAATATTTTGAGGCAGATCGTCATTTGGTGTTTTGCTTGCATGTTGTCTTAATTTATTAAAGCTAAATTCTCGCTTCAGTAAGATTGTAACTTTTAACGTCTTGAAGTTACTTTAGTTCATGTAGCATACTCATGATGATATTATTTCTGTGAGGTGTTTGATATCTTTCAGCATTATTGGTATTATTCTAGCTGCTCTTGAAACTCTATTAAGTTTAATGGATTATAGTTAATTCAATTCTACATCAATGAAATTTGTGACTGTTGTTTTAGGCATTGGAGAATATAGCTGTTAGTTTAGGGGAGTGTGAAAGAGAATGGAGTAGACGCAAACGTGGCTTGCTTATTTGCAGCCTAAGATGCGCACATACTTCGATAATAATGGCATGCAGTGGTCGACATGTCTCACATTGATACATCTAGGGCATGGCATAGGTTTGTTCTATCCTGCAAGAAATAAAAAATATTTTATGGTTCATGTTGGCATAATAGAACATGACTAGGGCATGGAAGAATGTGACTTAGTTTTTTTTTTTTTTTTTTTTTTTTTGG